TATATTTCCCTTAGTTTTTGGAGATATATCTCTGGATACACCTTTTTCACACTCAAGGAAGACCATTCTAGATGGCACCCGATGCATTTGCTAAAGATTTATTCCAGAGATATATCTCCTAAACATTCAAATTGCCGTTCACATCTTCCGGAGATATATCTCCAGAACATCCACTAAACTGATTAATTTTTATGTTTTCTCTAAATAGTTCCGGATATATATCTCTGAAATAAATCTTTAGCAACTATATGGGGCGCCATCCAGAATGACCTTTCTTGAGTGTAAAAAAGGCACCTTCAGAGATATATCTTTAGAAATTAAGGCCATTATAGAAAATATGCATGGTGTCTAAGAAATACATAAGATGCCTTAAGAAATTCTCATTACTTATATAAATTAGTTGATGTCTTCCATTTTATTTCAGATGAGAGAATTTCTTAATCCACCCCTTGATACTCTTAGGAACCTAGCGCATTCTCTTTTATGCCCCCTGCTTCTGGAGATACATTTTTGGACACATCTTTTTTTGTGCCAAAATTTGGTTTATTCTGGAGCTACATCTAGGGAATAATCTTAAACTGGTAAATGCTGGGAAAAACTTCAAAATAATTCAGTTCAGGGAAACTTCTGTAGATGCACCTCTGGAACGTCTAAGTACCAGACTGTTCCTTAGATACAACTCCAGAAGTTTCTGCTATATTTGAAACCTGCATGATCACTCCCCCCATTTTTGTGTTTTCTTCTTCCACACTCACCTTCACCAACCTAAAAAATCCTACATTCTCAATATCATTTTTCACTCCCAAACTCTAACTTTTTCATGCAACAAATCAAAGGGAGCAAGAAAAGATCGAATTTCAGGTAAAGATCGCACTTTGTCCACTACATTGCTCATAAATGATTAAACTTTTGGAAAAAAAAAGTAACGTTGCTTCCGGAGCTGTACCTCCAAAACGTGTTGAAGATGAACACTTCTGGATGTACATCTCCGAAACGTGTCTGTGACCTATTTTTTTTACAACAGATTTGTAATTTTTGTTCATTTTTCTTATTGGTTACAAATAGATATGGTGCACCCCGATAACATCTCAAAAGAATTAATTTCTACAAACGGTGTTTCTCCGAATGTTCAAGGGATTTTCGTAAAGTCGGTAGATGTCGACGTTGACTTTAATAACAAACAAGAGTTTGATGATCATGATAGCATGCTCACATGGATTCGTAGGACTGCAACTAGACTTTGTTTTGGTGTGGTTATAGGAAGATCAGATAATGGTTCAAAAAGAAGAAACACTTTTGTAACTTTGTTGTGCGAAAGAAGCGGGAAATATCAGACTCCTCTATGGAAGTTTAAAAGAGACGACATCGGTAGTAGAATATGTGAATTTCCTTTTAAGATTCGTGGTTACATGTTGAGTGCCAAAAAGGGGAAATTTAGTGTTATTTATGGTTTGCATAACCATGAATTGTGCTTAAAGTTACAAGGTCATCCTACTGTATGTCGGCTAAAGTCGGAAGAGAATACATGTATTAGTGGCATGACCTTGAATCTTGTCCAACCGAAAAATATACTTGTCACATTGAAACGGAAGGAACCCGATAATATATCAAATATAAGGCTAATGTATAACATTCGGTACCGCACCAACAAGGCGATTAGGGGAGATAGAAGTGAGATGCAACAAACGTTGAAATTGTTGGATGATAATAGTTATGTGTCCCGGTACAGAAATTGCGACGATGGAGTTACGGTCCGAGATATTTTTTGGACTCATTCGGATTCGATAAAGTTGTTTAACACGTTTTCGACAATGCTCATTCTTGATTCTACCTACAAGACCAATAAGTATAAACTTCCTTTATTTGAGATGGTTGGTGTTACGTCTACCAAGAAGACATATGTCGTTGGTTTTGCTTTTTCAGAGTGTGAAATTGAGGATAATTTTACATGGGCATTAGAGGTGTGTCGGTCACTTTTGAAGGACCAAGTTGAGATGCATAAAGCTATTGTTATCGACCGCGATACCACGTTGATGAATGCAGTTGCAAAGGTATTTCCTTCTTCTAATGCATTACTGTATCGATATCACATAATAAAGAATGTGAGATGTCGGGTTAAACCCACGGTGGGGGCAAAACAAGTAGAGCCCGAAGGTGGAAAATTGGTGAAGGCCGGTGTGATTGTTGAAAAAATAATGGATTAATGGAACCGTATACTAAATTCTTCCACGAAATAATTATATGCCGATTTCGCCATTCAATTCCGAAAAGTGTGTGAAAAGTATCCTGCTTTATTGAAATACGTTGAAAGCACCATTCTAGATCAGGTGAAGGAGAAGATAGTGTGTGCGTGGACTGATAATGTCCAACACCTTGGAAATACAACCATTAACAGAGTTGAGTCGACCCATGCTAGTTTGAAAAATTGGTTGGGTAATGGTAAGGGAAATTGTGTCGAGATTGAGACTCAGTAAATCTCATGATTAAAAACCTACATAATTAGATATAAACAAAATTTGGCCAGAGTATAAAGGTATTGGAACATCGATTTAAATACTACATTCTTTATTCTTAATTGATCGGCAATATGTCTTGGCCGGGGTTGAACTATATTTTTCACGAGGCCACACGAGCTGAAACTGTAGGTTCCGATAGCGCAAAGTGTGGTTGCACTATTGTGAAAATCTATGGTCTTCCGTGTGCTTGTGTTATTACTAAAAATTTGAAACTTGGTAAGCCAATAAGAATAGACGAAGTTTGCCCTCATTTAAAAAGACTTAGTTTTGATGATGATGGTTGCACGGAAGGAGGTAAACCAAATATCTCTATTTTGACTGAATGGGAAGCGATACAAGAGAGATTCTCAAAGGCCGACAACAACATGAAACTCCACATCAAAAAACAATTGAGGAAGATTGCCTATCCCGAAACAACCGACATGAAACCTCCTTCTCAACCGGTAAAGACAAAAGGTGCTCTGAAGAAAATGAAGCCTACATCGAATGACAACTCGACTACACGGTCTCCTTTTTATTGTGAGCACGTTGACAAACTTTATCCCGACTCACTGACTCCTAAATCTCAAAAAAGTGTCATGAAAAGAGTCCGCATAAGAAAACCGCCTCTGACCCCGATTCCATTGAAAATTCCATTCATCAACGAGATGTCGTTTTTATGAACAAATACATCGACTGTATCGTCAATGTTGAAGGGGATGGTAATTGCGGTTACCGAGTCGTTTCGACTTTGCTTGGTAAAGGAGAGGATAGTCATGCGCTTGTCAGTCATCAACTAATCTAATAGTTGAAGACGCACAAAGAATCTTACACGCGGTTGGATGGAACGAAAGAAAAATTCGATGCGGTTTATGAATCTCTTGTTCCTTGCTTGAGTGGTCCGATACCGGTGTCGAAATCGATGACCTTCCCTGATATGGGTCATCTTATTGCATGTGCATATGATAGGGTGTGCATTGACTTGACGCGATACGGGTTTTCAAAAACCTTTTTTCCACTCCGCACCCACCACCTCAAAATCCAAATAATTGCATCATGTGTATTAGATGGCTTGCAAAATCAAGACATCTTGTACAAGTTTACTTGAAACCGAGATGCCCTATACCATCTACATCACCAAAATGGGCGACTCATTCAACCGTAAATGCTGAGACGTGGCCGGATCATTTTGTTGAAAGGATGCACGAATTCGAAAGCTTGAACAACATTGAAAAGAAATCGAATGCGATAAAGTCTAAAGGGGTACCACCAATAGATTTAGCCAACGATATTTGTTTTGATTTGTTTTGAATTCAGGGAAAGTTCTAGAGATACACCTCCGAAACGAATAATTATGGGGTCGTTCCGTGGATATACCTCCGGAAAAAAGTTTGACAGAAAATGGTTGGTCCATATTCACCTAGGTTTTCTTTGGGGTTTCATTTGTTATGTTTCATACAAATACAAAAATGTCTCAATTGTGTGAAATCAAGATCTGTTGGTATATCGCAAGTGTCTCCTTTTTTCGACGGCGAAACACCCGGGAGGATGTTCAAGCTCATGAATCTCACCCCCTCACCGATATCATAGACAAGATCTAATATCGCCTACCTTACAATGACAAACGAAAGGTTGTGAAGCTTGAGTATTATTCACCTTTAGTTGACAACGAAGGAAACATTGTTTACAACAAGTTTGAGCTCAAGAATCAAGACGATGTTAGGGTGATGTGGCAAACATATTTCGATTTCGAAGAGAAAATTTCGCTCGAGTTGGAGGCGACGGTCCGAAGAACGGTAGGTGGCATCTTAGAGATGTTCAAGCGTCCACCGGGCTATTAAAATGTAGTATTTAAATTTCTGTCGAAATCATCAATGTAACGCCAATTTTATTTTATGAATGTTGATTTTATCGTTACAATGTTGATTTTTTACTATTCTGTATCTGGTTTTCTTCCGTAAATACACATACAAAAATAATCCATAAATGCATCTACGAAATTAATTAAAAAAAACTAAAAAAGAGTACATCCGAAAATAAATCTCCGAAATCAAAAAGTATTTTAAACAGAGCATATGGTGCCTAAGAAGATCAAATGGTAGGATAAGAAGTTCTCTTCAAATTATTCATTCTTCTCATATTGAAACTTAACCCAAGGGACCTTTATCCATTTTCTCATTTGGTAATACATGTAGTTTCTTAATTCTTTCATGAATGAATCGTTGAAAACTTAACAAGAAATCATTAAAGAAATTGATCAATATTAATTGTAAATCTTTTTACCAAATAATTGCAACTTCTGTATACTAGAAACTAGAATATGACAAAAATTAAATAGAATAAATAGACAATATAGACAATGGAAACACTATTTATTCAAATGTGAATGAATGGGAGCTCCCAAATACAATAATACATAATAATTTCCCATACAAACACCATAACATTATATTACAAAGCACAAATGAACATCTTATTAGAAACACAAACACATAAACTTTCAAATCAAATAGAAATGCTGTTGGGAATTCCTCTAAAGGCCAGCCCATCTTCACCAGAAGGTTGAAGAATGGTGTATGGCAGTTGCACCGGCCCGTATCGATTTTTCAAACTAGCATCATTGTTCCTCTCTTTGATTGTTCCTTCAATTTTTGCCAACTTTGTTCCAAACTTTTTAAAAGCTTGCAATGCCTTTGAATCTGATGTCCAGAACTTAACATCCCTCTCTCCAAGGTAAATCTCATCAGAAGCATGTCTTGACAGTATCTCAATCACAGAAAGATCAATAAGTGTTTGAAATTTTGGTGTAATTGTTCTCAAATATGCCTTTTGAGGATTTTTCACCATCTCGTCATAATGCGGAGTTCCTTTCTCCGGGATCAATCTTCTACTAAGTGTCGGACGGTTCAAAATATAACCTCCATAAGGATATTGTCCAAAATTAACAGCCGCGTGGAGAGCGGAAGCCGTCCATATGATAATCGAACATGATTGAATTAAATCTTGAAGATTTTGCATCTTAGGCCACCATGGCTTGTCTCGCAAGTCACCGTGACCCTTTTCTATAATCTCCTTCCACCAAGTTTGTAGTTCGGTATCTTTCTGCACTACTTCGTCAGTTGGATAATACAAAGAGACATAGTCTTGGACCCATGTTTTGATAGCATCCCATATCTCAAGTCCGTCAACCGCGTAAGGATAGTCCTCTATCATGAGACGAAGGCCGTGTGGAGAAGATGAATCCTCAACCGCCAATCCTCTATATCAAAGGCATATTTTTGTTATCAATAAATACTTTAACTATTTTATCGATTCACATTCAAACTAGATGAAATTACCTCTTGATAAGGTCGGCGGGTAATGCTTGATCAGTGAAAACCCAATTCTTGTATGCTGCTGAAGACATCTCAACGGAACTTGGTCCAGGTAAAAATGTCTGTTCTATAATTCCATCAGCGTTAATTAACGCGCCTCGTGCAAGTGAGTTGATATTTATTGTGTCGCGAAAATGAGGATCTAAAAGCCTATTTATTGGGTGAAGCACACTAAGATGCCTATTTGTTGCTATGATGAATGGCTCAACGACCGCATGAGTATTCAACCTGCAACCAATGAAATACAAAATTATTACGCGATTATGACAATTATTTTGAGACAGAGAAATAGTTGATTTAGCTGGTAGAGATTACATACCAGTGGCTCATGAGTTGATGGTAGCATGAGTCATTTACAATTACATGAGCCTTGGACAGTAGCCAAATTGTGCTATCAACACCTTGATCTGAAGGCAAGATGACTTTGCTTTCAGCACCATATTGAAGTCCACTTGGATGTGGTAAACTCAATTCTATGGCTAATGGCTTCAAAGTTCCATCATCTTTTAAGAAAAGGATTGTCCTTGTGGCATAAGCTTTTGCATTTTTGTTTATCTTGTTCAAATATGGGATGAATGCATCATGATAATCTAAGATGAATAATCTTTGATCATGCAGTGCCTGTTTCATAATTGTAATTTCAATGACTTAGTTTTCATAAATTTAAATAATTTATAAGTTAACTAATTTGTTCTAAATGGAACATATTTATAGCATTACCTTTTCAACTGTGAGTCCTCCTAGATTAATCTCCAAGTGTTCTTTTTTAATTGTACTAGTTTGATCACCATAGAGTGTAGTATCTAATGTGCTTTTTGGTGGAAACTCCTGTAGAATAATAAGTTAATACAAGGATATATAGAAACATTTTTATTGCACTTTAACGGATCATTAATAAGTAATACATTCGAAACTTACAGTGAGACGGTGAATCACACAAGGGTTTACACCAGCAATCATTTCCCTTCCAAATTCTTCATCGGTCATCCATGCAGATTTGCTAACTATAAAAAGTAAAATAAATATCTGAGTGATAATTATTTGTATATAGATGCATGGTTCTATAAGGATGAACTTGAGGACATCGTACCTTTGATAACATGGGGTGGTGGAAACTTGAGGACTTGTTCGCCATCAGTGCGGAATATTTCCTTGAGGACGGGTAAGGGACTAATTTTGCTCAATACATTTGTAGGAAGTTCAATTCCACCTTCAAATAAATCACGTACTTCATCGAAGCTATCAAACTCATTTGGAGTGAAATTCAAATCAAAGATTACAGATTTGAACAAAGGTATGACATTTTGAGACAATGATTTTATTCCATAGGTAAGAAAATCAGATGACTTTAAATGTCCAAAATTTTCGTCTCTTGGAACATACATGGCGCCCGGTTTCTCGCTTTTAGGATCTATTAAGAAAAAAAAACTTATTAAATATAAAAATCTACGAACTAAAACCACAAAAATAAATACGACACAAAAACTAACCTTTTCTGGTTGGTTTCCTACCACTTCTAACCCTTCGAGGGTAAGGATGTGTGCTCGACCCTCCAAGAACGGGACGAGCAAGATTAGCATTTTCATCTGGATTTCCCAAATCATTATAAACATCATAATCATATATTCTTTCCCAATCTTTTCGTTCTCCCGTTCCATCTCCTCTCAAATTTTGCAACTCTTCTTGTCTATAGTAAACCAATGGAGCCGGTGTTTGACTTGGGAGATAAATCTATAATTTGATGCAAGAGTTAAACATTATTTTTATCATAACTTAACATAAACATTATTGTTATTAAAAATTTGGAGCTTACATCATTGGAAAAGAAGATACGATCCTTCTTGTAACTTTGGAAGTTGTAAACCCAAGAGTTGCAAACAAAATTAACCGATTCATGATTAGGAATGTCATCAAAAGTGACACTAACAAGAAAAAACTCATGAGCTTGCATGTAGTTTCTTATGTAAAATGCTCCTGGGATTCCAAAATCAGCATCCCAATCAAAATAAATACTAAATGCATCTTGTCTTGCTCCTAAGGTTGGAAGAGTTGGGATATGTTTCTCCAAAAACACTTCTTTTCCAACTAACCCATGTCCATTTGCTACAAAAGTCACACATTTCAATTAATTAATTAATTTAAAAAGTTACATATTGTATATATGATGATTAAAAAGAGTCACTTGTATGAATAATCATAAACAAATTCAAATAGGTACTAGGTAATGGCCACTAGTTTCTATCAAATTATTATTACATTGAACATCAAACATAGGACTCCTATTTTTATTATTATCTTGCCCATCATCACTTGTTTTTCAAAAAAATATTAAACAATTTTTTGGCCTTTAACTAAATATTTGATTCTCAAAAGGACATTCTAATCATTTAGAAAAAAAACTAATAATTTAAATTTAGATTTTTCTAAATAATTCAACTTTAATTCTTTATTTGAAGCGCCTAAAAAATTATCAATATCTTGTATTAAATTATTTTATTTTAATTCTAGTAAAACTTGATTTTTCATATGAAGTGAAAATTCTTAAAGCATAACACTCCATATCCTTAAGAATATGAAAACAATTGAAAAATGAGCTGAATAACTGAATAACTATGTTGAAAATTTAAGAACAAACCATCCTTCTTGGTTGCACTGATCAACCGCATGGAGACGTTCCGCCCTAAAAAGGCGGTAGCACCGTCAACTATTCCGCCGAACAAGCTGCCGGCCGCCTCAACAACGTCCTCGGCGACATCAAGAATACCTTTCTTTTTAGCAGATGATACAGAGTTGAAGTCCAAAACATTTTTGGGCATCAACACCAAAGTGCCCTTGATCTTTTGGCTTGTGTCCCTATCAAATATGCCAAACATTTTTGCTGACTTTTTCTAAATCAATAGAGTTTGATGTAATATGAGAAAATGAGATTAAAGATTGTTGTGTTGGACTCTTCAGAAGACAAGGTATTTATAGAGGGTAAGGTAATGATCAGCACTCATGCAGGCCAATATGTGTTCAAGTGGGAATTACTTTTAGATTTTTTATTATAGTCACATGCCAAACGTGAAAGACATTGAATCATGCATTATAATCATGAATTAGTTTTTTAATATGAAATGCTGCGGAGTAAAATATGTATATCTTATTTTGTAAATCTAATATTTTTAGATATTTATCAATTGAACTGATTTAATTTTTACGGCTGATGATAATAGTCTCACATCGGACAATATATGGCATGAACATGTGTTTATAAGTGGAAGTAATCCTCACTCTAACAGTCGGTTTTGTAGGATTGAGTTAATTTCAACCACATTTCTAAGCAGATGATATAATAATTTTTTAACTTGTTTAAATGCTTATTTCTTAGGATTGGGTTTTGGATTTTTCTATGTAAAACACTAAACTCAATGTAGTATATTTTTAATTATTCATGTTTAATTTTTAATTAGTCATATTATGAATAATATATTTTCTTTTATTTACTTTGATTAACTATCCCATCTAAAATGATTTAAAGGTAGTAGCTTTGACCAAGTATTTGCACATAAAGAGATTTTTACTTAAAGGTGGAAGAGTACGTTATCTAAAATATATACTGACTTATTCAAATTATGTTACTTGTTTGACCAAATTTTTATACATAAAGAGATTTTTAAAAATATATTCATATATTCAAATTTGATACAACACTTTTTAAGAAAAAAAATCAACGTTCCTAAACTTAAAACGAATGAATATGCATATAAACTAATAATATATAGTAAAAAATATATTTAATCATGGCAAAATAAAATTGAATACAATAGTCATGTCTTCTAACACAAAAAATACTAAACTATTAAAAACTATTTATTTAGATAAAATAAAGGAAGAAAATATAGCAAAGATATGATTTAAAAATTACATATAACTAAGTACTAGTGGAAAACGAATAAAAAAGAAGAGTTGAAAGAAAATTTAGAAATAGTAGGCAGATAAAGTTTTCATTACTTGACAAAAGGGTAATTTTCAATTGAAGATAATGTGAAGAAGCCATCAATAACGACAAGTCTATGACGATGCAAGCTAGATCCAATGATTTTAAATGCCTTGAAAATATGAATATTAAGTTTTTTAAAATTTGTAAAAGAAAAATATTCTAATATCTAAGATAATTCGGAATTAAGAAATTTAAAATGTAGAAAATCCTAAACTATTTTTTTTTGGAAATCATAAACTCTTGTTCTGTTTTTTTTTTTAATTTAAAATAAGTTTGAATTTTTAATTAAATATTCCAAAAATATTTTAGAAAATGTAAATTGAAAAATACTAAAGAATGTCCTAAAAATGCCTATGTGTCACAAACGAAGATGATGTGACATTTAACAGCAATAATGTGTCATTGAATGTTGTTGATTTGACATTTGTCTTATTCTTTAAATGATTAAGATTGTATGATCCTCAAATTACGTTACACAACCCTAATTTTCTTCTCTCCCTTCGTGAAGTTACGTCTGGTGAAGATAGTTCTCCATTTTGCGTGCGACTACATTGAAGGTGAAGAAACCCTTGCATGCAACTAGATTTAGGTACGTATCACTACGCCAGAAATGACTTTTAGCAGCGCAACAAAAGACAGCGCTTTCTAAAAAAGCGCTGCTAAAGGGTCATGAAAAAAAAAAACAAAAAAATAGCATACCTAAGACAGTGCTTGTTAAAAAAGCGCTGCTAAAGGGGGGGGGGGGGGGGTTCAAAGAAAGCGCTTTAAAAAAGCGTTGCTAAAGGGAGGGTCTACGAAAGCGCTTTTAAAAAAGCGCTGCTAAAGGGGGTCATAAGGTAGACCTATAGCAGCGCTTTTAAAAGCGCTACTAAATGCCAAAAAAGCGCTGCTAAAGGGGGTCCTAAGGCATACCTATAGCAGCGCTTCTAAAAGTGCTGCTAAATGCCAAAAAAAGCGCTGCTAAAGGGGGTCCTAAGGCAGACCTATAGCAGCGCTTTTAAAAACGCTGAATGCCAAAAAAAGCGCTGCTATAAGTTTAAGTAGCATAAATTTAAAAAATTCCAATATTTTCACAGAATCAAAACAGTCTTCTTCTTTCTTATTTCCACTCGCGAACGTTGCCCTATTCAGAATTAGAACAGTCACCGTCGACGCATTCCGTCCGCGCCTCCGTCCGACAGCCTCCGTCCGTCGTCTTTCCTCCGGTCATTCCGTCGTCACCTCATTCTGCCTCCGTCCGTCCATTGTTACGGTATTTGAAGTTTTTCATTTTGCATTTTTCTGGATTAATGTTTTAGTATTTCATTTTTTTGGATTATATGATGTTAGTGTTACTTCTTTTCTGAGTTTTTGACTTGTTTTTGTTGATACCGTTGATGAAAATTACTCGTTTGATATTGGCTTGAATTTTGTATACAAGGTGTTTGTTGAAATGCCACAATGAATTTACTTATGTTAACTTTCATTATATCTAGCCGTATACAAGGTGTTTGCTGAAATGCCACACCTTATATGAGTTCTTTTTACTAATAATTTTTATAAGGGAAATACTGCACATATATTCAATACTTTTTTAGATTATGTTGCTTTAGAAACTTCACACTATTTGTGATTTAGATGAAAGCTTTAAGTTTCTGTTAATCTTGAAATTTATTTATTTTTCGTAATCCTTATTTTTCTATGAAATAGTCTAAATTCACAAATAATCCTTATTTATTTATTAAATTTTAAAACATAAATATATAGATCCGACAACTTTTTTGAAATAAAGTTGGTTTGGCGAGTTACACAACATTTAATGAATTCACGTGTCTTCATGAATGTGGATATAGTTTTAGAATGTATAGATCATTCATACAGCTTTATGTTTGTATATGTATAATGATGTTTGATGTTGCAGCATTACATTGTATCAAAATCTATATTTTGAGGGACTATATCTTTCGTCTTCTTCAATTGCAAGTGCCATGATCAATCTTATTCCCGGAGTTACATTTTTAATAGCAGCCTTTGTAGGGTAATTAATAACTAACTTAACTTATATTTGTTAGTCAATCAAAATTCAAACCAATAATAATATGTTTCTTTGAATATTTTACAGAATGGTAAAAGTAAATATTAGAAGTTGGTTTGGCGAGTTACACAACATTTAATGAATTCACGTGTCTTCATGAATGTGGATATAGTTTTAGAATGTATAGATCATTCATACAGCTTTATGTTTGTATATGTATAATGATGTTTGATGTTGCAGCATTACATTGTATCAAAATCTATATTTTGAGGGACTATATCTTTCGTCTTCTTCAATTGCAAGTGCCATGATCAATCTTATTCCCGGAGTTACATTTTTAATAGCAGCCTTTGTAGGGTAATTAATAACTAACTTAACTTATATTTGTTAGTCAATCAAAATTCAAACCAATAATAATATGTTTCTTTGAATATTTTACAGAATGGAAAAAGTAAATATTAGAAGTTTGAGAACTATAGCCAAAATTGTGGGGACTTTGATATGTATTTGTGGAGCTTTGTCTATAGTATTGTTGAAGGGTCCAAAAATATTAAATGCAACGATCATACCTTCAAAATCAATCATGGCTGGAAGTGATACTGATAAGAATTGGTTGCTAGGATGTGTTTTTCTTTTGGCAAGTAGTGTTGCCTGGTTATTTTGGCTAATTTTGCAGGTACTTAATTTCAGTACAATCAAAGTCTTAAATAACGGTCTATGCTTACGCGATTTTAGTCGGCACAGGTGTTAGTGGTTGTTGCGGATGTGAATTAACCATAATTAATTCCTTATCATAAAAACCGTCAATAACAGAATCAATAACAAAATCAATATCGGTACCATCAGAGACTGTTTTTTAAAATCTTAATAATTAATACTTATGATATAACTATTATTCTATAAACATATAACATTTCACCCTTATATATTTTTCAGGTTCCAGTTTACAAAAGTCATCCTAATTATTTATCACTGTCAGCTTGGATGTGTTTCATTTCAACATTACAATCAGCCGTAGTGACAGTATTCTTGGAGCCAGACCTTAATGCATGGAAGATTAATTCTCTACTTCAATTTGGTTCCACTTTATATGCGGTAATTTTTCATGATGATACACACCAATATTTATACATCATAATCCTAGATAATTTGTAATAAATATATTTTGTAGGGAATTATGGGATCAACGGTTATGTTTTGTCTTCAAGCATGGTGCATAACACAGAGAGGACCTCTTTTCTCTGCATTGTTTAGCCCTCTTGTGACAGTGATTGTGACTGTATTGGCTGCTTTGGTACTTCATGAGGAAATATATATTGGAAGGTAATGATAATGAAGATTAATTCTATAAATACATATTTAATTATTAATCTGATTAACAGAAACTTCAAATAATGATAAGAACTGAAATTTTCATAGAAATCTAGTACTTAATGATCTACATGGGCTTGTTCAAGTGTATTGTTACTTATCTATTATTGTTTTTGCTTGTGCTGTTTTTAAGATGAATCATGTTCTATTGAATTAAGTTTGGAAGACATTCAATTGAATAATGATACAAAGCTTGAAGAAAACCGTGTATTTGTGGCTGATAGTGAACTCCATGCAGTCTCATACAGAATTCAGTAGTCAAGTAAAGATTGTTAAGTTTATTTCTTCCTAATGTGACATCTGATATTGTATCTATTTGTAAAGTTATCAGATTTGTAATTATATGTGAATTGATTGTATATGTGATTTTGTTCTGAGGATCGGATTGTGTTGTAATATATTTAAGCAGGTTTATGTGTATAATATTTCAAAGTGATGAATTATAATGTATACTTTAGTTATTGTGTATAATATTGCAAATTGATGAATACACAAAAATAAGGCCA